GCAATCTCTTATCAAACGCCTGAAACCCAATTTATGCGTTTAGAAAGGAGGAGGTATCAGTCTTCCCTAGCCCTAGAAACTGGATGTGTTTATTTTATCTTTTATTTGATTGCGTAATCTTTGGCTTTAACTCCACCCTCCCTTGATATAGTGTGATTCTGCTTGTCTCTTATTTCTGTGATTTGAGCTGAACTCATCAGAGTGTTAGTGTATTTACTCACCTATTGTCTTTATTATATAACTCTTTTGGCATTTAATCATGCACTGATTTTGGTTTGAACTTGGACTCTCAGAGCGTCAAGCGTGAGGCAAGCAACCCAACAACGTAAACAAAGTTGCTACAGAAACTTCAGTACGATGAGTTTCATTGTGACGAACGAAGAAGTCTATGTAGGGACATGGAACGTCCACACCATGTATGGCAATGGAAAAGCTGTCTAGATTGCAAATGAGATGAAAAGATATGGTATTCAAGTACTGGGAATATGTGAAAAAAGATGGAATGGGAATGGACTCATAAAATTGTCAACTAGAGAATCAATGATCTACTCAAGTCACCCAGAAGACAACCACGATTACTTCGAGAGTGTGTGGCTATCATGAAGTCACCAACGGCAACGAAGGCCCTCATAACAATGGGAGGCGATCTCGTCCAGGATAATGACAGCCATATCCAACTCAAAACTATATAGGTGTAATTTATGAACACTATTTATTATATTTGGAGCCCTCTGTCAGTTGACATTATGCAAAATTTGCAGGTATGTCAAAATTCTTCTGTAAATAAACATCACAGTTTTTTTTATTTTGTAAGCAGATGACAAGAAGCCAACGAAATAAATGTTTGTAGCATATTATTCTGCACAAACCACTGTTGTTCTTGCTTTATGATAAGTCATTTACATCACAGTAAGGTAGGAATTCATATCAGAAGAAAGGATAACACTTTGAGGGCTACCTGCTACAGTAAACAATGCAGTGTGAGACTTTCTTTTGTACACAATGTTGTATTCCCCATCAGACCAAATGACTGTAGAAAAAGAAGAGTAACACTATACGATAAGATGGTTACATAAATATTATTCTGAATGGGTTTCAGGATTTCATCACCAGCTGATACAGGTTAGAGAACCATTGTAAAACCCATAGGGAGTACTGGACAGCCAACTGTTTCACCCTAGTTTGAGACTCTTCGTCAGTGTGCACTCACTTGACTTCAAACTCAGTACCATTTTCGTTGCAAGGTGAGCTTGTAGACCAGGTAGGCTGTTACCTGCGTTTTAGTGAGAAGTCTCGACCAGTGGGGTACAGCGGGTCGGGAGTGAGGGTAAATACTCGCAAGAGATGACGTTGGTTATTGGTCGTGCAATATCGAGAATTCATGGACCATTGTTTAGGTTGCCAGTAGGCTTAGTGGTCTATCAGCTCGCCTTGTAATCAGGAGAACCTGCATTCTAACTCCGATCGGTGTGAACTATTAAGGATTCCCACACTAGGATGAGACAGCTTTCCAGTACTCCCAGGTTTCCAATGTTTTACTAACCGACGTCAGATCATAATGAAATCCTCAAATTAATCAAATCTCTGCAAACCAACCCTTGGTTTTTTTTAATCGTTTCTAATGACAAATAAATGCAATGATCATATTAATAATAGTGATACAATTTCGACAATAAAGCCAGATTTTCTGTGACAAGTAAGGTTGTAGCTGTAAATAATTCTCCAAAATGATTAGTCTACACCACTCTCCTTTCAGCAATGGATGCTGACCTCCAGTGTTTGAGTCAACTCATTAAGCTAAAGGAACACGGCCAAGCATCCATTTCATTCAATGTACCATCGTGTTACATTCGGTCGTTCGCGTACAATCCCTACCTAATTGAGCAATCATCATCGCACTACGATTCTAGTCCTAAAATATATCTCGTATTTTGAACGATCAATTTGGTGTTAAGATTTGTTTTTTGATCTAACCAGAATAATTACTTTAAGAACTTGCGTTTGCATAGAGCTCACTTTGCTTAGCCATCAATATCCCTTCATTGTATAAAAGCTTAACAACTATTCATTTGAAATTTATATGATTATAGAGACAGGGCCCCTGAATATGAATTGATAACAACTCTATCAAGTAAACATATCTAAAAAAATATCATATAGGAGAAATAGGCAGATTTTTATGCGAAGAAAAATGTATCATTAAAGCGAAAAAGGCCTTCTTCTTACTACTTCACTACCTCGGGGATAACATCAGCGAGATACTAATACAACGCCTAAGGAATGCTGTAATAAGAGCATTCTGGGATGCTGAATTATGCCTACTTTTACGTTCGGGAATAAAAGACAAACTGCTTAATTTCGCCTCTTCTACGCGTACCTACCAATTTGAGTGCCCCTGTGGAGTCAGTTACATAGGTCGTACAATTAGGTGTGTTTTTCATAGGATTTCGAACATCACCCTGTGTGGTTAAGTAAAGGAAAAACAAAGTCCACTCACCACGCTATCCTATCCTATCCTATCTTGTGGATACAGAACACAAAAGTGATGTTAACGAGGCGGCTTTCAAAGTCATCTACCACATACTAACCAACTAATCTTTAACTTCACCTTGAGAGTCCTACTACTACATATTGCTACATAGCTGGCTGTCGGGATCCACATTAAGAAACCAAACTGCTCATAACATCCAAAATATTGGAAAGGATTGAATTTGCCTTTCACTCACGATCTCCTTCACCGAACACTTCAGTATTCCTAATTCATCTGTCATCCCTTCTACTTGTTTGTTGATGTTTGGCAGTGGAATCTAAGATGCATGTTTCTTCCCATTCAGGACTCATCAGCGTCCCAGGTGATTGATGATATTCCCATCGTACAGCAACTATATTATTTTTTATTTTGTTTTGATTATAGCTTGATTCCCCACAGTATTTTTGGTAGAAGTATGGAATTCTCAGCATGTGATATTGGTAGCCCAAATTTTTTAGGCCGATCATTGATATGAGGTGTGCGTCGGCTGGGGATCGAGAGCAGGACCACGTGCATCGTCCTTACCGCTGTATCACCGACGTATATATATACACAGACAATGATTCAGAAGTGTCATGAAACGCTGGTCCTGGAATACACAGTTAGCGACTGTCAACTGGTAACATCATACTTATCTCTTAGTATGATCGAAATGTCCAAGTAAGACTCCAATGTATCAACGTAGTATTTCAGTCCAATATAAGCAATCAACAGGAAATTGTCCTCGGATTTCTTGCACAGTGGTTAAGTAAAGGACAAGCGAAATCTATTTATAGCTCCATTCTATCTCATCTTTTGGATGCAGTACACAAAACTGATGTTAACGAGGCAGCTTTCAAAGTTATCCACTGCATACCAACTAATCTCAACTTTACACTAAGAGTATGTCTACTACATATTTCTGAGGCTGGCTGTTGAGATACCCATTAAGAAAGCTAACTTATGTATGTATCCAAAAGAAGCTCGTTGGTTCAGACACTGTCCTTACTACCTTGGTCGTCAATCAAGGTTTCAATGATCCTCAATTTAATGTGGAAATATCCTTAATTTTATTTGATATTCTATTTGCTATTGCATTTTTATACTAATTATAATGTATGCATCTTTCTTGAACTGTGGTAATTCCATTGGTCTTACTTTACAAATCGATATTATTTTAAAAACAACAATATTGTTATCAACTACTAATCTAGAATATTCTGTGTATATAAACACTTGTATGTATAATTGTAGAGCCAGAAGAGGAGGAAATTATCGAAAGGGTCAGATATTCTTTGCTCAATGTTTTCTTTTTGTTTTTTCTACTTGTGTATCAGTTGACATAAACAAATCTTAATTTTCAAAGTTGGCATTGCATTGATATTTTGTTTGGCACAACATTATGTGTTCACAATTTCTGTTAAATAATGATTCATTTCGAACTAGGTTACTCAAAAAGATGAATGTAGTAGCATTGTAAAACAAAAATAAACCGTATATGCATGTCCAAATCAAGTTCACATTTAAGAGTTCCGAAAGATTTGAGCATTCAGTATATGACATTCATTCTAATAAAAGTTTTGTGAACAAAGCAAGAACTACAGTTTTAGCAGAATAAACTGGTACCATCTTTTATTTCGTTGCCTTCTCGTCAGCTGCTTACATGGCAAAGACATTATTAAATATATCTACAACAACAATTTTAACATACTTGCACAGAGTTCATTTTAAACAGAAATCAACCGACCAGTATATGCATACAGTTATAATACATATAAGTATATATATGTAATATTAAACACTATTCCAAACAATAACAATCATATGCAATGGAAACTTTTCAGAATTATGCATTCAGATAAAATAGAAATGAAAATATCCAGTTACCAGGGCAAAAAAGACTGATAATTGTTTGTTTCTGAAAGCACAAATCAGGTTTCAGGCGCTTGATGGATATCGCCTCAGCAAACTTGAGAAGAATTGAGTTTTTTTGCCTGTTGATAATTTTGAACGATTTTCCGACGTCCACCTTATGACACGTATCAAGGAGATGCTCAGCAACGGCACTTTTAAAAGCATTTGTCCCCTTTAGACATAAGCTTTTTGGTACATGTTCAGAAAATAGTAGATATGCCTTCTTTGTATTTCCCTGCGAATGAAACCACACTCCATCCGGTTGACAGTGAAGACAAATACTCGCCAGTGATGACACTTGGCTGGAACCATCGTATTATATATCACGAAATGATAGAAGCTGGAATTTATGGGACAATGAATCGGGTCCCAGTGGCTAAATGGTTTACAAGCTCACCTTGTAATGGGAAGGTCCTGGGTTTGAACCCCCTGCGGTGGATGCGTACTATGCTGACGAAATAGCTGTCCAGTACTTTCTGATGGCTTCCAGTGATACCGATCCACAGTCATACCTGAAACATTACAGAAACGTCTAAAAAGCAGTAAAGACAATAATGTAAGCATCTTGGAACATAGGGGTGTAATATACAACGATCCCCAGGTTATAAGTGAACTCCTCAGTGAGTGGTTTTGCAATGACACCAGAGTGCACCCGACCCCAAATTTCCAAATGACCTGCAAAAGTAACCACAAATTAGGAGAAATAGATTTTAATATACAAAATATAGACTCAGCGATTAAGACATTGAAGTCAAATGGCAGTACTGGAACAGACGACATACCATCTGTCATATACAAAAATGGTAGCACGGAAATGGTAGTCTTGTTACTTAGAATATTTACTCTGTCACTGGAAACTGGAACTTATCCTGAAGTGTGGAAAACCACATACATATTACCTAAGCACAAAGCAGGGGCCAAAACCAGTGCATGCAACTATAGACCTATTAATATAACACCGGTAATATCACGAATAATGGAGAAAGTGGTTAAAGACCAAGTGTCAGACAACTTACTAGAACATGAACTTATCAATCCATCACAACACGGATTCCTCAAAAAGAGATCATGTGTGACCTGTCACATAGACTTTTTCAACGAAGTTACACGAAGCAGGGACAACAGAGAACTAGTAATTGTGCTATATTTCGATATAACAAAAGCCTTCGATAGAGTCCCCCATAATCTGCTAGTCAGCAGGTTATGCTCACTAGGGATATGTGACCCTCTCCTGAGCTGGATAAAATCATTTCTCTGTGACAGAAGTCAGATAACAAAAGTTGGCTCGATAATCTCAAGGCCTAAACCAGTAAGTAGTGGTGTAATCCAGGGAAGTGTATTAGGCCCACTCCTATTCATAATATATATAAACAGTATCTGTGAATGCTTTAGTGTTGGTAAACCAATACTATATGCAGATGACTTAAAAGTGACCTATAAATGCAAGAACACAGATCTCGGAATAACAGTAAACGCCATACAGCAAGAATTAGAAAAAATGGACAGATGGTGTGACACCTGGCAACTCCAGTTTAATGTCGACAAATGTGGCTGGCTCTGCATAGGTTGCAACAATTTAGAACTTGACCTGACAATTCAAGGCCATGCACTCTTACGACTGGAATCTGTATTGGACCTAGGACTGAAATACTCACATGACTTATCATTTTCTGAACATATCTCCAAACAAGTGTCAAAGTCACGCAGACTTATCGGCTTTCTACTCAGGAACTTTTACAGAAATGAGTCCAGAATTCTGTTGTACAAGGTTTGTGTGCGTCCTTTATTTGATTACTGTTCATTCATGTATAGTAGTATACGCATAGAGGACAAATTGAAAGTCGAGGGAGTGCAGAGGTACTTCACGTCAAAATTACTCGGAACCGAAAATGGTGCGAACTACTCCACTAGATGTGACACCCTAGGATTAGAAACACTATGGCTAAGACGCCTGAGACTAAACTTAACACTTTACTATAAGCTTCTAAACCACTTAGTTTTTACCTCTACTAATGGCATTCGACTTTCAGATGACAGTGGCTACAAACTAAGACACACTAAGGGTACAGTAGCTATCGAACAATGTAAAACAGCTACCAGGCAAAAGTTTTATTTGATTAGGTATGCACAGATATGGAATAAACTACCAATGGAAATGCGTCAAGCAGGTACATTGGCCTCATTCAAAAAAGTGCTTAACGACAAACTACACGAGTTTGCAAACGACAGTAGTCCTAGTTCCTATCTGAGAGCCTCCGAAATTATAGGTCCATTTAATGTATAAGCTCAAATACTACACCTGTTGTTTTTTGCCTATATTTATAATTTTAGATAAAACATTAACGATTAAGATACTTACCCTCAAACAGACAAGAAGTTTCGTTTGTAAAACTTCTACCCAACACAATAAGTGGAATAAAATGGACATAAACCGACAACATGAAAAAGATATAACTCACCACAACATCACATGGACAGATGTACGCTCGTCGGACATCATATATGCCTCACCAACTACAACCCAACATTCCTGAGATAATGTGATGAACTTATATCCGTAATGTTGCTGAGCAGTCAATATCCACAACTCCTGTCGGAACAACTAAAATTCAAAAACCTTCCTCACGAGAAGTAAATACCCACAAGCAGTAGAAATCCATTAATTAATGCGTCTAAAGCTTATGTATTTTACTCCCAACAATGACATTGCAGATCAAATGAGATAAACATATCACTGATTTCAAAATAACACATCAATGAACTATAATTCAAGGATTCTGCACACAACAAAGTATTGTACGAAAATTGACTTCAAGCTTTATTTTTTTCCCAGGCACTTATAACCCATCCACCAAAGACCTGGTTTTTTTGTTAATGCGAAGACAATACTTCTGTATTTCCTGATGTGTTGCACTCACTGACAATCTAGCGGATTTTTCCAACTATGCACAGAAATGATTGTACATAAGTGAAAAGGATGTTTTATACTATTGGGATTAACATTTATCAAGTGTATGTATAATCTCCAGTGTACATGTTAAACATATTTTGCTATCGACTGTAAATTGTGACTGAATAATATGGTCCTATTTCTGTAACAATTTGATGATGCCTGTAAACTGGCGTCCCTCATGTACTGTATCATGAGAATAAATTTATTTATTTATTTATTTAAAATCCCTACAGACTAACACTTAAAATACCTAAACTTTCATTCATCACTTGCAAAGTCATCAATTGCCGTAAGTCTACTGATAACAGGCACACTCTTTGATAACCAAAGAAAAGAAAAAATATGAAATACTGACGAAATCTCCAAGAAAAATAACCATCAAGAGCTTTTCATTAACAAAACTCAACGCCTTTATTAAAAGACTTCGGAAACGTATTTCGAAGTTAGGAACCTCAATAGCTGACACTCTATAGAGCAACCTTATTTTATTCATGAGAAAAACTGAATTGAAAAAGTTCACAATCTAACTACATCTAAGCAATAAAATGCCAGAATGTTATGCGATATACACCAGACTTACCTCATGAGAAATCAAGACTAGTAAATATGAATACTTGTAGCGCCTCTATTTGGCAAGTGAGAAAAACAAGTTGAACTAGAAAGGCTTGAAAAATTAGCAACCAGCCATAGGTCTACACCCTGTAGTATCAGACGACAAAATTGACCCTGCAGGGTGTTGGAATCACCCAGGAAAATTCCAGAAATCAGAAGGACGTCTAATATCATCAGAAGCCTTTTTGTATTAAACGGAATCCCAATTGTGTCCATATGATTGATAGATTACAAAAAAGAATTTGACCAGGCTACGACACCTCTCTCCTCCATGAAGCGACAAAATCAACACTAATGTGATTGGCAATTTCACCGTGTAAACACATGCTGTTTCTATAATTTAATACGCTTATCAAATCCAACAATGTACATATGGTTTTGTTATTTTTACCAGTTACTGAAAAACCGTGATTAAATTAATGGATACAGGCCAAGAATTTGTAAATTCTGGTTTAATAGTACTTTGACAAAGCTATTAGCATTAAACAGAGAAACGTCAGTAAAACAAAACCTTTTTGTTCTTTTTTTCATTTTATCAGGAAATACAAACATTTTAGGGTGGAAAAACTATGTGATTTGTTGGATGGTGACAAGCAGTGAGAACCAGGATGTCCATTTCATCCAATTTAAGACTCGTTATCTGCACTCATCTGCATTCCCCAATGATTGGTGGTGTTCCCATTGGAGCTTGAACCCGGTATGCATCATTCCAAACACCTGTAGGCACATCTGGCCGAAGAGTCCCAAATAGGACGGAATGTCCGTTTTTTATCTCACTGCTAGTTACCATCCATGGAATTACCTCGAGTTAATCTTCATATATTGCTGAAGTAACCGTACTACGAGCCGACATTTCAACAGAGGCCAAACATTTGGGTCCAGTAAGAGGACGGAAAAATTCAAAACTGAATTAATAACACAAAAAATTCTTTGTCTTAAAATCCTGTTAGTGGTCAGTTCCGGTCGTGAGATTTTCTTGAATAAACTTCAGATTCTGGTTATTAGAAGATATAATATCCATTCCATCGTACCAACGAATGCGTGTCAGTAATTTAGGAAGATCAATTCGACTGAAAAAAAGGTGCAAATCTTCAACAGAAGTAATACCAAAAAGTGCCAAAGAATTTCTACAAACCTGGTGTTCAAATTAATCTACAGTCAGAAGACAAATCGCCGTAGTTCAGATTTATTCAGCAGTGAAAAACAGGTTATACAGTCTTAAGGTCCATTAGCAGATCAAAACAATAATCGATATCAGTACAAGTGAACAAGAGAGTGGGAAAATCTGTGTGAAAGAATCAAATGCATTCCAGTTCCTTACAAGAAACAGTTATCGAATTCATGTAGAAATCTAAAAGTTCATTTCACATTGGAATTTTATCTAAATATTATTATTGTTCCTCTGAGTTTCGAGTGGAGCTCAACAGCACATCTCCACTTTTTCCTATTTGCCATAGTATTCGATCTCATCAAATGATCTCTTCCAAGTCATTCTCTTCCCGACGACCCACTCATCGCTTACCATTCGTATTCCACTCAAGGGCCTAACGCATGATGTCATTCAGTGGCCTCTTCAGGGTGTGCCCGATTCACCTCTATTTTTTTCCTACATATCTGTTGATAAATCGGCTCTTGGTCGGTTCTTTTCCACAGTTTCTTGTTGTTAATACTTTTGGATTATTTTATCTTCATCGCTGAATAAGCTGTTTAGAAATACAGTGTAAGCTCCGTAACTAAACAATACAGTTCAGAGAGTTGAGCCGGAAATATCTTTCGTCATTTCTAAAGAGCAGACGTGTCACTGATAATTGGCAGAAGCGTTTACAATCCATTCACTTATATCGCAGCTATGTATGCAACGGTAGTTTCAATATTTTGTTGAACTACTTCACTACTTTTGATTTTGACTAGTCATCTAATTCAGTGATCTCAACTCACTGAACAAATCTTAATCTCATAAACTGTAACCGTTTTTGTTTCTTGAGTTGCTATGTGTGAACCTACAAGGTAACACTGTTCTGTTAATCACGTTTTTTCTGTTTTCTGTCTTACCCCTCCCCCCTTTTTTCAACTTCCAAAATCGTATAAATTGATGATGAAAACTTAAACTAAAAAATTGTAATGCATTCATTTAGATGCGTGAATTTTACAGTATCTCTTCTCTACCACCACTCAAACTTTAAAGTATGTTGTTATCATCTATAAAACCATTGTAATTTCAGGTAGGGGTGTGTAGCTGATGAGAACCTGTGAAATAGAATTATATCATTTTATATTGCAAATTTCGTCTTCCTTTCTTTATCGAAATTTATCAAGGGAACGAAATGTACTTCACTACTGTTTTCATTAATAAATTTACCATTATTATCATCATCACTAGTGCTACTATTCCTGGCTTCATTGGTTTTTTTCTTTTATCGTTGATTACCGTCGTGTTGGTGGTTCATTTGTAGAACACTGTCCAATTAAGCAAGTGGCCTGGTGTTTGATGCCCAGCTGACACACTCCTGAACTTCCCCTAGCAGCTAGGGAGACCAGTAGAGAGGGAGGGTTAGACATGGGGTTGGCAACCCTGTCTGGTAATAAAACACAACTGCTACTGAAAGTTCAAAGCTCCAGGTTGAAGCTCTGTGTCCCACTGAAAATGTAAAGAAATAAAATAAATATTAATAAATCTTTCATTATGCATACAAGTTTTTAACTTCAGTGAAAATCAATCTGCTCAGTAGTTGATTCGCTTAGCTCAGCTAGTACAGTAGCGGGCGGCTGATCGGAGTCTGAGAGCCATTCATATCTTCACCCTACCTGCAGTTGTCACTTATTTCTGAATGGTAGTCCAAAGATCTATGCCTACTCCAGATGATATCATCATCACTTCTCATTTTTTGCTACCTGTCCGATCGATACACTCACTACCGGAGTTTTAGATACTAAAAATCAAAATACCGTCCGAATATCCTTCATTATTCCGCGTAAGTCGTGTGAGTTTATGGATAACTCCTGATCTTATCTAGCTTTGATATTTTCAACTGTGGTGTCTGCAGTTGAATCGACGCCCCCAAAATAAGTGAAAAGAGTTTTGATATAATTGTTTCCTTTGAGCTGAATGGTTTATTTGCGTAGCTTTCATTGCCCTACAGGGCAATATCTTCATCGCTTACTTCAATTTGAAGTGAGCTTTCAGATTTCTTCACGAGTTTATTAGTCATCTCTTCTGGTGGGTGATCTTGAAAGTGATTGATTATTTCTGTGTGTTTTCACATCCTGTAGGCTACTTGTATTGGTACTGATTGCTTCCTTGACTTGAAGTTCGACTTTTTGTGCATGGGGCTTTCCTCTTATGGATTGATAAATTTTGTCTATGTCAGTGTGTCTGTTAACTGACGATTCACTGGTTTACCAGGCTTCAAAGCTTCTCTGGTATTCTTGGTGTTACCTCCATCTAATATATGAACGTTGCCTTGGTTGAACTGATGTCCGCGGTTGGCTGTATGCAGTAATATGATGGGGTGGATACCATGTCTTTTAACGGCTAGTTTGTGTTCACGGATGTGAAGACTAAGAAGGCGTCCAATATGGCCAGTGTAGTACTTTTCGCAACCATTGCAATTTATTTTGTAGACGATGATGGTTTCAACTTCTTTCGTTGTTGAATCTTTTGGTTGACAAAAAGCCAGCTGAGTGAAATGATTTTGTTGGTTTATGTGCGACATCAATTCCTAAAGGTTTAAAGAGTCTTGCAGTGATTTCTGAGATGTCTTTTATGTATGACAGCGAAACTTTCTTTTTGCTTTCCTTGGGGGCCTTTGATTTCGTAGGTTAGCTTGGTGGTAGATATCTTTTGATTAAAATTCGTGGGTATCCATTCTTTTAGAGGACGACCATGAGATATATTTCCTCAATTTTCCTTAAGGCAGGTTTGCTGCAATGAGTCCTGGCTCTCCTAAATACTGCTTGCATACAATTCCTTTTGTGTGTAATTGGGTTGTTACTGTTGTATTTGAGTGCTTGCGATGGAGTATTACACAGAAAACTCCCTCATCCACCTGAACTAAATATCTTCTTCATTATGTCTAAGTGAAAATTTCTTTCGTTAGTAGTGATTAGTGGTTGCTGGGTATCTTCATCACCTTCGTCCTCTCTGTCTCCATTTGAAGCCATGTCTTCGCTGTCACCCTGTGCTCCCAGTTTGTTGGTTTTCTCCGAAAGATCTTCTAGTTTGCTAGAGAAAAACAGTCAGTGACGTTCAAATCGCCTATTG